GGGGGGGACAGTGCGTGAGCGTCCTGGGCTTTAAAATGCAACGTGCTTGCATGCTGGATCAATCGATCAACCAGTGAAGTAGTATACTCCAGACGATGACTCCTCATACCGTGGCCGCTCATCACGCTCGCCCCCTGTCTCCCCACAAACCACGCTCTCGCGCGCGCACTCGCCCCCTCCCGCCGCCGGCCCCGCCGATAGGCCCGCGGCCAGCCCCCCGCGCGGGAGGCTTTCCCCCCCTTCCCAAGCACCCGGGAAGCTGCCGCGCACCTGCTCGCACTTGGACAGCAGCTCGTCGGCCTCATGAGTGTCGTCCGCCTCCTGAGCCGGCGCCGCCCTCATCCCGGGGAACGCCGGCGCGCCGCCCGTCACGCGGCCGCGCGTCCACATCCCGGTCCCCGTGCCCATGCCCATGGGCATGCCCCCAAACGGTGCGGGCCCCGGCGCGCCCGGCGGCGCGCCGCGCCCGAGGCCGCCGAACGGCGAGGCGCCGTAGCCGCCGGGCGCGGCGGCGGCGGCGAGGCCGGGGTAGAGCCGGCCGCCCCCGACGCCGCCGCCGCCGCCGGGCATGCCCATGCCGGCCGCCGCCGCCTGCATCAGCTGCTGCTGCATCAGCTGCTGCGCGAGCATGTGCTGTTGCTGGGGGTCCATGCCCCCCAGCCCGCCCAACCCGGCCGCGCCCCCAAACCCTCCAAAGCCGCCGGGCGCGCCGGGGCCGCCGCCGGCGCCGCCGAGCATGCTGGGCAGCGCGCCGCCGCCGGAGCTGCGGTTGAAGTTGAGGCCGCCCCACTGGCCCAGGCCGGCGCTTCCTTGGCCGGCGGGGTCCCAGCCCTGAGCCGCGCCGCCCCCGCCGACACCCGTCCCGTCGGGCAGCTGCGTCTGCCCCGCAAACGGCGTCAGCCCCGCGCCGCCGCCGCCGCCGAGCATGCTCGGGAGCATGCCGCCGCCGCCGGGCGCGGGCGTGGCGCCGGCGCGGGGCTTCTTGGGCTGCTTTTTTCCTGGCTCCCACTCATCGTCATCGTCGCCATCATCGCCCTTGCGGCGCGCCTGCTTCTGGCCGCCGCCGCCGGGCGCCGGCAGGCCGTTGGCACCCCGCTCGCCGCGCGCCCCTGCGACGATGTCGCCGAAGCCACCCTGAGCCGCGCGTTGCTGCTGCTGCTGGTGCTGCTGCTGCTGCTGCACCTGCTGTTGCTGAGTCTGCTGCGCCATCAGCAGCGCGTGCAGCGGCGCGACGCCGGCCTGCAGCTGCGGCCCAGGCTGGGCGAGGGCGGCGGCGAGCGCCGCGGCCTGCTGCTGCTGCTGCTGCTGCATGTGCTGCTGCGCGAGCGCGGCGGCATTGTCGTCGGCGCCGGCGTCGTCGCCGTCGTCAAACAGGAGCGCCATCATGCTTTCGGCGTCGCCGCCGCCATTCTGGCCGCCGGCATCCATTTCACCGCTGCGATCGCCTCACTCGCAGATGGCGTCTTGCCCGCCTTGTATGTAGGGACGCGAGCAGCAGAGAGGTGGGGTGGGGGATGAGCGAGCAGGCGGCGTGTTTGAGCTGGCCCGATGGTGGGCGAGCGGCGGTTCGATGCGCACGCAGCCAGCAGCTCCGCAGCTCCAGGGGCAGCCTCGAGAAACACATTGCCTATTTTTGCGCCAGGATCAGCGAGGAGCAGGCCAGAATACAGGGCACAAATTTCTCGCCCCGCAAAAAGCGAAGCAATCGCTGCAAGGCTTGCCTATGCGACCGCAGGAAGGTTCACGAGGTCACCACCCACATACACTGACGGTTTCCAGTGACACCTACCCGCCCAGCACTCCTGGGCCACCAGTCGAGCGCCTGCCTCAATGCCGCGAAGCAAAGGAGCTGAGTGCTGATTATTCGTGAGACCTTGTGTGAACCCCACGTGTGTCTCTGAGGTACAACCAGATCACGCGGTGCTGCAGACTGCTTTCGCAAGCAGCGGCCACGAATGAATTACAAGGTTGCCAGAACTTGGACCTGTTTCATCAAGCCTTCTGAGTCGCCACCCTGAACCTTGAAGCCACGCTGGAAAGAAGGTGCAAGGTGGCAGCTGCGATTCCCGCCTTGTGCTTGGCGGCCAGCGGCATTGCAAATCTGCGCGGCGCAAAGCAACTATATTGTGCCCGAAATTTGTGGCTAGGTAGCTATACTTGCACGACATATTTCCAGAGGCAGGCTGCAGGGTGCCTGCACCCCATATGCGGATGGCCGACACCAATCATCCAACCACGCTTTTTTTCGTCAAGGTTGCGGCCCAGTCCCATGATTGCCCCCTTTGTCGTGACAGCGGCCATGAAGACATAGCAATATACAGACTTGATCATGCAGTGAGCCTGAGTATTGCATGGCGGCTCCCGAAATGGGGCGCTGCGATTCTGCGAGCAGCTTGCACCTGGCGCGGTGCCAGGACGGACGGCCGCGGATGGGGCGCCCGCTCTGTGGGAGAAGCGGAGCTGCCTCAGCCGGTAGCTCAGGCAGGGTTCGGCACCCTGTGGGCAAAGCAGCAAGCAACGGCTCCACAGTCCCACAGGCCTGCTGCTGCGGGAAGCGGCCATCGCACCGTGGCACTGGAAACTTCCTATTACAATCTGGTGGGTGGGCCACCAGCAAGGGACAGACCTATAATAAGGTATTTTCATGCAGACCGATGGAAACCCGCATGAGTCCAGGTGGCATAACATCGGTAGTACAAAAAGCTACCCTTGGCCATTACACTCTTCCCCACATGATCTGCATCACAGTCTGATTGTTGCTTGTATGGATATCTGATTTCTGCGTGAGTGTGCAGCCTTTGAAAGCAGGCTTGCAGGCTTTCATGTCTGTGTGGCTCCCAGCGCTGCAGCAGGTCAATGCTGCCATGAGCGTGCCAAGTAGCCAGGGATTGTCTTTCTCTAAGCATCTGAGCTTTTTGTGGCCAGCTGGTCAGCTGGTGGGTTGGTCAGCGCTGTCGGCCCGCCACTGCATCTGTTGCCCCACACACGCGGGCCAAACGCCCTGGCGTCTGTCTTTCTCCTCACATACACTCTTGCTGCCGCAATCACATGCCGCCTTCAGCCCAACCAACCAAGTGAAGAGAGGGAGCCGATTACAGGGATCCAAGGCAGCGGGAGGAGAAGCGAAGACGCGGCGCATGACCCCGGGGCGTCGTTGGCGCTCCAGCGTGCATGGCGTGGTGCGGGCGCTTGGGGACGGGGGGGTGCGGGCGGACGAAAATGCACCATCTGCTGGGTTGCATGGGCGGCGGCGAGGCGCCCTTTCAAGCCGAGCACATCACACAGAGTGCTCATGCAGGAGTGGGTCGCCCGCTCAACCCCTCAGGGAGGAGCGCCGTGGCTGCCAAGGAGCAGACGGGGTGCCGGTGGCGAAGCCCGCGCGCCTGCTGCAGGCTGCGCCCAAGCCACGCCATGCGCCTGCGCATGCCTCCGGAATCAAAAAGGGGGCTGGCTGGGCCAAGCAAAATCTGCTGCTAAGTACCCGCTGCGAAAAGAGCGAGACAGAAAAAGAGAGGAAAGACAGGGAAAGAGACCGCTGCTGCAAGCCCGCCGCGCGACCTCTCCGCGCCCGCCGGGCGCGGCGAAGCCGCGGCCGCTCGCACGGGCGCTGGGGCGCGGTGGCGGGCCGTGGTGCTGCGAATCGCGCTGCTGCGGCGGCGTTTAGATCTCCGCGGGGCCCTTGCCGGTGAACTTCACCTGTGAAGCGCAGATGCATTTGGGAGGAGGGGGGGGGCGCGAGCGGCAGCTTGTCAGCCAGTGGCATGCATGGTGACAGACGGCGGGGCTTGTCGCTTTCCAGCAAGTGTTCACAGGAAGGCAGTTGCTAGGCTGAACGCTGGGTGGCTTTCGGATGCACCAACCTGCCGCGGCACACACGGGCTGTGCTCGGGCCCGGGTCCGCACCGCAGGTGCTGCTCCTAGGCGCGCACGCAGCGGCAAAGGAGCCCGGCGCACCTTGATGGGGTTGACGTTCTCGCCGATGCGGCGGAAGTTCTGGTTCTCGCCGATGCGGCCGGCGTTGACCTTCTCGGGGTACACGCCGTCCTTGGGGTGGAGGTACTCCACCTCGCCCGTGGGGTACACGCGGTAGAAGGCCGGCTGGATCTTGAACTTGTTGCGCAGCTGCGTGGTGAGCGCCAGGCAGTGCTCCTTGCGAGCCAGCTTCAGCAGGTTGGGGCCCTTGCGCATGATCGCCGCGCCGCCGAGGGGCATCTCAAAGATCTGCTCCTTGGCGCTCTCCCAGGTGATCACGTAGAACTCCTCCACCTGCGGTGTAGGTTGTTCGCCGCAATACGACCATTGTCACGCAGCTGAGTGCGCGGAGAATGCCTCCGTTTGCTGTGAGGGACAAGCCAAGACACCAGATCGGAGGGTTGTGCCCTCCGCGACCGTTTTGTGCCATTGCTGGTCCAGCATGACCACACGACCGATCCAGAAAAAAGCGATGCCACCGCGTGGATGCAGCCGAGGATCCATCCGCGATGCCCCGGGCATTTATCCAGCGATGCCGCTGGACTGACCGCTGGTGTGCTGCTGCCCTCCCAGGTCATCCTGCCCGGATCTCCGCACCGCACCTGAGCCTTCTTGAGCAGGCCACCAGTGGAGCCGCCGAAGATCGGCGAGGGCGTATCCGGGTTGAGGGTGGGAGCAGTGAAGGCCGGCTTCGCGGTCGCCGCGGGGGCGCCCTCGCTGGCGCGGACCACCACGGAACGCACGCGCATGGACTTGGCAACCACAGAGCGGCTGCTTGCCCGGACGGCAGCCTTCTGGGCCTTGCAAGTGAGAGCCATGTTCGCTGCTGCTGTGCTCGACGGGGCCGGTTGAGGCTCTGTGCGGGCGTAGATTCTCTGATGGCAACAGCACGAGCAATGACTGACACTGCGAAAGGATGGGAGGGCCGTATCACTGGGTCTCGCAGCTGGAAATTGCTCGGGTTCAAGAGGATGCAGGCGGGCGCTCGTTCGGCAGGCTCCACGGTGCCACCGAGCTGAATGAAAATGAATTTGTTGATGAACCTTATTCGATTTCGAGATACTGGCCGGGATCCTCACCGGCCCGGATGGCAAATCGGGCCTGAGCGGCGGCAGCAGATCTGCATGCTGCAGAGCGGACAACCGACTTCCCCGCCGCCCTGCTCTCCTGCTTGATACATGCTGATGTTGCGCCCTAGTGTGCATAGCATACAATGCTACGATGGCGTTTATCCACACAGGGATGCGGCGGAGTGCATAAAATAATTGCACATCATCCTGCCCGAGCGCGTCCCGCGCACCTTGCCAGAGACGATGCGAGCCAACCAGCCGTCAGCGGCAGTCCCTCACGTGTGGGCCGCGGCTGGCGCAGGCGGCAGCGCTCCAGGGGCGCCACCACCCGCCGCTTCCAGGTTTGCTCGCAGGCACGCCTGACGATGCCGAAGGAGAAGGGGCAGGACGAGAGCCCGACAGGTGAGAGGTGGGCCTGCCTCCCACTGCACAGACACGCTGCATCTGCTGCTGGGGCCATCAGCGGGGCTGGCTCGATGCTGTTCAGCTGCCATGACATGGCTGAATGTGTAACACGCAGCCCCGAAAGCGTTTCCTTGTGTTGTACGAATGCATTGGTGCACGCATGAGCGCGCAGGGCATGCGCAGCTGCGCGCAACCCAGGCGCACAAGCATCCAAGAATGCTACGCGCATGAGCAAGCCAGCGCCGCACACAGCGGTTGAAAAGCATTACAGCCCTACAGCTCAACTCATGCCTGCTCACCGCCAAGGCTAGGTCTGTCTGGAGGCAGTCACACCCCCTTGGCTGCGATGTGCTGAGGTGGAAGCAGCTGAAGGCCGCCACAAACAGCGGACCGCAGGGGCCACCTTTCAGGTCGGCCACACAGGGGCACGCCAGCGCCTCGGTCACGCGCCCAGCTCGGCCCTGGGAGGACCCAGACGTCCGGTGGGCGGGCGTGGATGGTCAGAGCCGGACAAACAGGGCAGCCGGCTCAGTGCACACGTGTCTCCTGCGCCGCTACTGTACGCATGGCAGGCCCCTCGCCATCCTCCAGCGGCTCACAGGATCGTCAATTTTGTCACCCAGGCGGCATGCCATCAGGCCTATTGGTCTACGAGGTCGTGGCACCTTGATCTAGGATCGACTGCGCTGATCGGCCTCTGTGCTAGGGGAAAGCGAAAGGCGACATCGAAGAGTGCACCCCGCGATTGTGAATCAGGTGAATCAGGCGAGGGTCAGCAACCAAGTTTCGCCGCTGGCAGCGCGAGTGCGCCGTGCGCAATGCTAGCGTGTGCCTGGCGCGCTGGGCTGGTGGTTTCGCCCATAGGGGGAAGCTAGCAGTGTCAGGATGCACAAACGATTGTACATGTAAGTAGTTTCTGCCACGCTGTTATTACCAACGGCAATTCTGGGGGTTCATGTGCGTCATGGCCAGACCGCCTCGACGATCATCGCTACAGCACATGGTCCGTACCTGATTTTTTTTCCTGGTCGGGGGCTCCTCACAACAACAGATGGCTGCAGTGTATGCATGCAGCAGATTCAGTAGCTTTCGTCCGGTCTGTTCAGGGGATGCTTGACAAGTGGCGGGCGCGGCTCAGCGGCGATGACTGGGCATGACTGGTTGACTCTGTTGTGTCTCCCTCCAGTCGTCCAAGGCTGTGAGCCTGCCAGGCGATACAACCGAGTACTGAGGGGCCGCCTGAGGACACCAGCTTATCACCTAGCCAGATTTTCCTGGCTAACTACCAATGGCAGGGGGGGTGACGGGAAAGTGTGGCCTGGCCAGGGCCTGGCTGTCTTGAAAATAGGTGGAGACCAAGCCCTCGTGCGGGGGCCGCCATATCAAAGCCTGACCATGGCGGGGGCCGCGAGGCGCCGCTACTTCTCCATTACTCTGGCTTCATCGCAGATTTGTTTGCGAACAGCGCGGTCCGGTGCGCTCAGGCTCACGTGAGCTGTGATTAGTTTTGACCACTGGTCAACTTTAGCTCTGGCAAAGCCAGAGCATGCGCGCTGAGCATGAGCTCTGGTAAACTCATCATGCCTCTCTGAATCGAAGCCAATAGGCTGGCTGAAGTCCCAACAAAAGCGTTTGGTGCCGAGGCCGCCAGGCGCTGGTTGGCGGCGAGGCGGCAAGCGAATGAGCTCGGGAGTTTGTGCGGGCACAATTGCCATGGGACGACTGCTCGTTCCTGCAACAACTTATTCAATGACGTCCTCCAATTGAATATCGATTACTTGCTTTTGCTGCACATGGGCTTCACCCGCGTGCTAATCTGGGGCCTGGCCCTGCAGGCCATTTTATCGACACAAGAGGCGTGGGCCGACGATGATTTTCGATTCCAGCAGTGCAGTAACAGTCCGGTGAGGACGGTCGACGTGATCAGCGGGTGTTTCCGTTGATCCCGCATGCTGGGCGCCTTTTGCGGGCCCTATACACACCACATGAGCGGCAAATACTCACTCGACTTAGACTTCGCAGCGCTGGCATGCACGCTCGGTGGCCCCTGAAGTCGTCGCGTGGGCGTTGCGCAGATGCGTCAGCGCGCATCAGCTGCGTCACTCTCGCACACAGCACGGCAGCGCGACTGCTTTGCCAGACCGCCCACCATATTACCGTACATTCGCTTTCCATGCCAGGTGTTCAGCATCTCAGATGTGGCGATCAGCCCAAACCCTGCTGTGCATGGGCAGGTGGGGCATCGCGCTGCCCCACGCGCGCCCACTCGTGGGCACTCAGGGACCGCGAACGCCGGTGGCCGCCTCGGTCTTGTTCTGTCCACTGCAAATTTGGGCGAATTTCGGCAGCCTGCGTGCAGCTCAGCAGGGCGCATTGCCCGACAAGCAGCACGGGACCCTTCAGGCAATGCCTCCTGCGGGTGTGCTTGCCTTGGCCACACCATACCACAAGCACATACGCGGAGCGCGCGCATACACACAATCTTTCGCCCGCCGCCTGTTTTTCTCTCGCTCTTTCTCACCCCATCCCTCACACCCATACACACGCACACACACACACACACACACACACACACACACACACACACACACACACACACACACACATCAACACCCTGACACACAAATCCCACCACAGGACATCTTTGTGACCATGTCGGGCGTCAACTCCCGAGAGGTCACCGACGCGCGGCTCACCATCACCATCTACTACAGGGGCTGGCCCATCCAGCGCCAGACGCGCGACGTCTGCACCGGGGACCGCCCCATCGTGCCGCCCTGCCCCTTCGAGTGCGCACGCCCCCTGAGCTCCCGCCCGTCCCCACACTTTGCCCCCCGCACGCCCCTGCGTTTGCTGCCTTCTACACCCGCGCTCTTGCACCGTGCCTTCGCCTCTGATCTGTCGACCCCGGGGCCCGGCTGCCACACTGAAGCCTGGTGCAAACCTTGCGTTGTTACATGCTACTGCAATGCTCACGACTTGCAGCTGCCGCGCAGCCCCGCTCAGCCCCGCCCCCGCCCCTGCGACACCCCCCCCCCCTCTGTTTCGGCCGGACCCCGCAGGCCGGGCAACCTAACAATTACCAGCAGCGACGCGGTGCCGTTCATTGCGCCGGTGGGGCCGTACTCCATGCGCATGCAGGCGTGGGACCAGAGTGGCGCGGGGGTGATGTGCGTCGATATTTGGTTCCGCGTCGCGGCCCGGCCGTCGGCGGCGGCAGCTGCGGCCGCGGCGACCGCGGCGGGGTTGCCGGGAGTGGCCGGGCGCGGCGACTGGGCGGCGGCGGCGGCGGCGGCGGCCGAGGCGGCGGATCAGGACGCGTGGCCGCGGGAGGAGGGCGACGCGCGGCTGCAGGGGCGGAGGTGGATGCGGCCGCGGCCCGGCGGGCCAACACCTGCGGCCGGCACGCAGTTCTGAGGGCGCGGCTGCCGCTGCATTGGCCGCGGCCGCCGTTTCTCCAGGCGCCAGCGGTGCGCAGGATGGGCGCGGGGCGCCTAGTTTCCTCCTCATGCACATATAGGGCTCTCCCCCAATTGTTTGCGCTCGCTCCTCATCCTGCTTTGAAGGATAAACTTGCCCCTTGCTGCTGACCCGTTGCAAGTAATAACCTTGGAAACAGCAACCGCCTTGAGCTGCCGTCGGCGCGGTGCAGAGGGCGGCCATGTACGGAGGGGGCTGGGTCAAGCAATGCAGTGTCCCTGTCGGCGGCGCTGAGCGCGGCCGAGGACGGCTCAAGGCGACACGAAAGCAGTCGTGCACGTTCGTCAAGGGGCGCGTGGTGCGGAGTTAGGCGGTGCAGCGCAGCTCAAGCGTGAGGGGTTCGGTCCAATCGGTGCACGTTGGGCCAGTGGCCCTTGCTATGTGTGCAGAGTGGCGTATACAAACGGCAGCCGCAACGCCCCCAGTGGCCTCTACATATGGTTCTGTCACAGGCCCGCGGGCGCGCCAAGATCGGCGCCGCAGTCGCCGCAGTTATGACGCGTGTCAAAATCTTTGGCGAAACGGCGGCCGCCCGTATTGAGAGGCTGCTGCCGAGCGAAAGAAACGCTGTGCCGCATGGCGTCTGAGGCATCAGGGGGCCGTTCGGCACCTGCGGCGCGCAGGGGCGGCGGTGCGTTAGCAGCAACGCTGGCGGGAGGTACGCCGACGCTCTTCCTGAACGGGGGCGGGCCCCGTTTGCGCGGCGCATCACGAGAAGCGCGCAGCGTGGGACGTGTCGCCGTGCCCCGCAAAGGACGCATGGCAAGGCGACGCCTAGGCGGCCTGACTCCCGGTAGCAGGCTTTCATGCGCCGGCTGGGCCCGCAGGCCGCTCGCTATGCGCGCAGCCTGCTGCTGGCGGTCAAGGCACAGGCCCCTAATTCCAGCCCCACTATTGCGGCATCGCCTGCAGCGAGTGGTCACGCCACAGGCATCTGTCGCCCCACAACACACACCTGGGTGACCCCCTCCCGAGGGTGACGAAATTTGGGAACCAATTGCCGCCAACCACATTTTGGACGGACGACTGGGGAGGCCAAGGGGGGGGGTGGGACGGGTGGGAGGGGGCTTGCTTGCTGAGTGTGCGATTTGTGCGGACCCGCTGCGTCGCTGTGGGTCAAATTCACCCCTCAGATTGGATGGCTTGTCAGACTGCAGGGAGGGGCGGGTGGGCGCATCCAAGCCTGCCAGCCAACCGTCGTCATGTAGCACTCACCGAGTACGGCACTGCCTGGGTGCAGCCGCCGCCGGGGCCGCGGATCGTCACGGGCGGCAGCCACTGCAGCAGCCGCCTGACGCTCAGCCCGGGGGCGGCCGCGCGCTGGGACGTCGCCGCGCCGGCGCCGCCTGACGTGGCTGCGGAATGGGGGGATGCATTGGTGTGAGACGGTGTGCGTGAGAAGGACACGTCTGCAGGAAATTGTCCAAGCACGCATTGCTGCCCGTCTTGCCCAGCTGAAGGCGAGATCCAGGCGCCACCTGCTCCCGCCGCTGACAACGCAGCGCGCACCTCGCGCGGCGGGCGATAGCAGCACCACGACGAGTAAACACACTGCTAGCTTGCTGCCGTCCCGCGCCATCCTGATGTAACCGGCCACTGTCGTCAAAACAGACCAGCGCGAATTGCCCAGAGCTGATCTGGGCACGATTATAAGCTGTGGGAATTGACGGGATTGAATTGCGGATACTTTTCGTGCCGGCGAACTGGAAGCATAGTGCTGAGTCACCCGCAACTTTGTCACTTCGCTGTTCGAGTGAGGGGCAGCATCACGGTGTTTGAGTCTGGTTGAGTGGACGCCCAGGCAGTGTCTCGTCAAAAGGGAGTAGCCAGGTGGCCGAACAGGTTTGGTCCAGGCGATGCTAGGCAGTCGACCAACTCTGCACACAGGCGGGACTGCCATTCAGTACCAGCTGTCGAGTCGCCGGCGTCGGCGGTGCAGAAAGGACGACAGGGGGCGCTGCCGGTGTGCCCCAAACCCACCATGATCATAGCAACCGTTACATTACAGGATTGTCTTAACGGATGCTCACATGCGGAGAGTCAGCGGGGGCGGGGCCAAACGGCAAGAGCGACAGTACGGCACTTCACAGGAAGACGAGCCAACCCGGAACCCCACCAAACAATGGGAAGCACTGCCCACGACCAGGGACGGGTCGACCCACTCGACTCAGTAGCGCGGCCTCTTGTCCTGACCACTGTACCCCACGGCGCCACCGTAAGCGCCCCCGTACGCCGCGGCCACCCCCGACGCATCCCGCTTCTGGCCTGCGGCGGCGGGTGCTGCGGCTGCAGCGCCACCGGGCACGTACTTTGGGGCGGATGCTGCAGACGCTCCCGTCCTGCCGGCGACGGCGGCGGGCGCACCGTAGTGGTAGCCGGCCGCGCCCTGCTGCTGCTGCTGCTGCTGCTGCTGCTGCTGCTGGCCCGCCGTCGGGGGGTAGCCGGCCGCGGCGCCCGGGTAACTGGCGTAACCGGTGACGCCCGCGGCCGCCGCCTGCTGCTGTGAGGGGTCGTAGTAGCCGGCCCCCGTGGCGGCCGGCTGCTGCTGCTGCTGCTGCTGCTGGTACTGCTGTTGCTGCTGCTGAGCCCCTTGCTGGGCGCCATACGCCTGCTGCCCATATGCAGCCGCCTGCTGCTGGCCGTACTCCCCAGCGCTCGCCGCCTGCTGCTGCAGCGCCCCCACCGCACCATACCCGCCTGGCTGCGGCTGCTGGCCGTACGCCGCGGCGGCGTGCTGGCCGTATGCTGCCGCATGCTGCTGCTGACCCTGTGCGCCGTAAGATGCCTGCGGGCGAGCGAAGGTGGTCAGCGCCGATCGGGTGGGGTGAGTTTGGGGTGTTAAGTTGGGCTTGAGTCAGGAGGCTGGTACAGTCAAGGCAAGCTTGCCCATTCCAGCTTGCCTTTTTGCCCCCTAGCATGCCCATTCTTGCGATGGCCAAAAGGTGATCGCAAGAATGGGCATGCTAGGAGGCAACAAGGCAACCTGGGACACGTCCCGCGGCCGCAGACGTGCGGCGGGGTTTTCGGCCCTTCCACGGCCCGCAAAAGCGGAGGCTCACCCCGGCAGCAGTGGCTGCCGCCTGCTGGCCCGCAGCATACGTGTTGGCGCCGTAGCCGCCGCCGGGCGCCGCAGCCGCCGCGTCGCCGCTCACGCCGTACTGCTGAGCGTACTGCTGGCCGTATTGGTGAGCAGCGGCCCCTCCTGGCGCGGCGCCGTACGCTTGCTGCTGCTGGTCTGCCGTGGGCTGTTGCTGCTGCTGTGGCTGCTGCGCGTGCTGCTGCGTTGGGGGGTAGGCATACCGCGGGTCGACCGCCGCCCCCGCCCCCGGCGCCGCCTGCTGCGCCGGCGCCTGCGCGCCGTACTGCTGCCCGTACGCGCCCTGCGCCGCGGCCGCGTCGGCGCCATACACCTGCGGCGCCTGCGTCGGCGCAGCGCCATACGCCTGTGCGCCGTACGCCTGCGCACCATACGCCTGAGCGCCGGCAGCGTCATACCCGCCAGCAGCCGCGCCGCCATACGCACCGTATGCGGCGCCGCCGCCCGCTGCTGCCGCCGCCGGCGCGCCCGGCGCCGCGCCGGCCGGCGCGCCGTACGGCGCTGCTGCGGACGCCGCGACTGCTTGCTGCTGCCCGCCAAAGCCGCCGGCGCCAGCGGCTGCTTGCCCCGCAGGTTGGGCCGCCGCTGCGCCGTACGCCTGCGGCTGCGCGCTGACGACGGCCTGCTGCTGCTGCGCCTGCTGTCCGCCCGCGGCGCCGTACGCGGACCCATACCATCCGCCCTGGTCCCCGGCGGCGCCGTAACCGCCCCCCATGCCCGCCGCCGCGGCCTGCTGCTGCATCGCCAGCATCTGCTGCTGCTGCGCCTGCGCCTGTGCAGCCTGCTGCTGCTGCTGCTCCTGCTGGAGCTGCTGCGCCGCCAACAACTGCTGCTGTTGCTGCTGCTGCGCCATCGCCTGCTGCGCCTGCTGCATCATCGCCATCTGAGTCATCGCCGCCGCCTGCTGCTGCATCGCCATGAACGCGGCCTGCTGCTGCTGCGCCATCAACCGCTGCTGCATCGCCGCCGCTGCTGGCGGCACGCCCGCCATCCCACCACCCAGACCGCCGACTCCCATGCCCATTCCCATCCCGCCGCCCATGCCCATTCCAGGCGCCCCCTTCCCACGGCCCCCCATGCCCCCCATGCCCACGCCGGGGCCGCCCCCGGGGCCTGCGCCGCCGCGGCCGCCCGCGGGCACGCCCACGCCGGGGCGGGCACCGGGGCCGGGCCCTGCGGGAGAGGCGCAGGGATGGGGTGCCTTGAGCAACGTTGCACGGCTGGATGCGACGAATTTGAGGGTCGAATTGGCTGATACCAGACAGCAACGGTCACGCCGAGCCACTGAAATCATCGGTCGCTGGACCAAGTGCCGCGCAGCGGATATGATGGGTCTCCCAACTCCCACTTGTCAAGATGACCCACAACCGAGCCAAAATCCGGTCGGAACAACCAATCACAATTCCAGTCAAACGCCCGGCCAAACAACAAACAACGCAGCGCCTTGCACCCACCCGGCCTGTCCTCTGTCATCTCCTTGTCCCGCCCCTTCTTTTTCGGCGCCTTCAGCGTGCACGCCCCCCTGTCGGGGCTCTTGGCAGGGTTGACCAGCGACACTGTGATCGACGGGCCGAGGTTGGGGACGTCCTTGCCGTCCAAGGTTAGCGCGGCGGCCTCGGCCTCGTCGGAGCGCAGGAACTCGACGTTGGCGTAGCCCAAGTGGCTGGGGGGCGGGGGTGGGGGTGGGGAGTGGGGTTGAGCATCTGCTGGGGCATGTGATGCTCTGTAGGGCTTAGTGGGTGCAATGGGTTTTGCTTGTGCCAGGGCCGATTCGAATGGCAAGTTTCCGAGCAGCATGTCAGGCGCTCTCGCGCCCCCAGCGCCTGAGGGCGCACAGCAAGGCGCCTGTTGCCCGTCGCGTTGTGCCCCAGCCTGGCTGGCCCAGCGGGCCCTGAGCTCCGGAACCTCACAGGTGCTGCGTCTGCGGCACGTGCGCGGCGTGCACCCAGCCGAAGAGGCCGGCCACGCGCGTGACGTCGTCGGGGCCGATCGTGCGCGCGCGCGCGAGGCCGTTGATCACGATCTGGGTTGCGAAGTGATCGGGGACGGTGCGCGGGTAGCTCCATTCCGCGCGGCGAATCTTGAGCTGCAGTGGCAGCGGCGGCGGCGGCAGACGGCAGCGGCGGTCGGGGCGGGGTTTGAGGGGGCCCGCGGCGGCAGGGCCCGGGGGTTGGGGTGCTGTCCACTCACAGGACAAAGACGTGAGAGCGCAAGGCCCGCCGACGAAGGCTGTGCCACGGAGCGCCGCGTCTACGCGCCCTGCCCCATGCTGTGTGGCGGGACCGCACGCGCGCGGCACGCGGCCGCCCCTACAACCTTGGCTGCTGTGCAAAGGCATCCCCCAGGCGGCCAGGCGGCACGCCCCCTCACCGTTTGCTCAGGCCCCGGCGGCGGCGGAAGCTTCCCGACCTCCTCGGCCACCCGCTCCTTCAACTTCCGCTCGCGCTCGCGCTCCCGCTCCTGCCGCTCCCGCTGCCCCCTCTCCCGCAGCCCCCTCTCCAGCTCCCGCGCCTGCCCCTCTGCCTTCTGACGCTCGCGCGTCTCTGCCGCTTCCTGCTCCCGCGCCTCTTTCTCCCGAGCCTCCGCCCTGGCCTTGACAGCCGCCTCTCTCTTAGCCGCGGCCGCCGCATCCCGCGCCTCCCTCGCAGCCGCATCCTCCTGCCCCGCGCCGTCCGCCGCCGCCGCCGCGCCCGCCTCCGCCTCCGCATCCGCCGCCGCGTCCGCCTCTGCATCCGCCGCCGCACGCGCGGCGTCTGCTGCCGCCCGTGCATCTGCACGGGCCGCGGCGTCGGCGCGCGCCTTGGCTTCGAGCGCGGCGCGCGCGTCTGCGGCGGCCCGGTCGGTGGCGGCCTCCTCCTCGCGCGCCTGCTGCCTAGACTCCTCTTCAAGCCGCAGGCGGATCCTGTCGGAAAGCAGAAGGCGAATAACGTGATTGTGTCGCGCAGCCGAGAAGAAGGAATGTCGCAGCGACGCAACGGCTGATGAGGGCCGGCGCGAGGGCGGCCGGAATCGCAGGCCTGGCTGCGCGGCGCGGAGGGTCCGCGGCGGCGAATGCGCAGACTGGGCAGCGGGCGCGACCGTCCGGCGGCCAAGCTACCAGCCAACGCGCGATCCACGCGGCGACCCGAAACAACGGCCGGCCTGGGCGATGTTGCCTCGCACCTGGCGCGTTCCTGGAAGTATTCGTCCTCCAATGCCTTCAGCCTGTGGGGAAAAACGGGGGCAGCAACCAGGTCGGCGAAGCGCTTGCCGTTTCACAACGCAGGCCGCCGCGCCAGGGTCGAATGGACTGCAGTCACTTGCACGGCATCCGTCCGGGTTGAGTGCATTGAGAGGCGGGCGGGCCCTCAAATCGAGCGCCGCGGCTGGCCGGAACGCACGAGGCCCGCCCCACGTCCAACCCATGGTTATGGCAACCCAGACATAAACAAATTTGGACCTGAATTCCCAGCCCGAAAGTCTCCCACCTGGCCTTGACGCCCTCATACTCTGCCTCCAGCCCCTTGAGCGCCGCCTTGGCCGCCGCCGGCACCGCAAACTCGACAAACCCATACCCCTTGCCGCGCCCCGGCGGCAGCAGCGCGCCGCCGCCGGCGCCGGGCGCGGCCGGCGCGCCGGGCTGCGGGGCGCGTGCGACGAAGCAGCGGACGACGTCACCATATGGCGCCATCTCGGCGAGGAATGCGTGGTCGTCGTCATTGATGAGGTGGTTGACGAACAGGGTGACCTGCCCGGCGGGTGACGCAGGGTGGGCAGGCAAGGAGGGGTGAGCAGGGTCAAAGAGGGGGAGCATGGGTGGAGGAAGCGATCAGAAGTCAAAAAAGTTGTGTCAACCCAAGGGGCAACTGCTGCGGGGCGCCCCTGGAATTCCTGAGCCATTTGGTAAGAGCGTCCACGCTTTGAATACCCTACCCAGCTGCAGCAAGGTACCCAAAAGGAAAGGAGCTCATAACGACAAACAAAAAAACAAATGAACCAACCAATGAACCGACGTGACACAAAACACGCTGAAATGCGGCCACCAACGCGGGCAGACACACAACCCCGCCCCTCACCTGCACCAACGGCGCCTCTACCATCACGCGCGCCCCCCGAAATTCCACGCCCCCCTTGAGCTGCGCGGCAAACTCCCGCGCGATCCGCCACGCGTCCCCGTCGGTGACGTCATCCACGCCGCCCCCCTCCACCGCGCCGCGCCCGGGCGACGTCGGGGTCGCATACACCTCCCCCGCTGCGTCCCCAGC